TTGCCCAACCTTCCTTCCGAGGAGTGGCTGGTGGGTTTGAACCGCCAGGCTTCTGGTTAGCAGTCAAGTGCCTTAGCCACTATGCTACCAGAGCTCCCCTTAAGGTGCTAGGCAACTATTAATCTACTTGACTGTCTCTATATATTTGCTTGTTACAGATATTTCATGTAGGTGGAATCATACAGTATTTGTCCTTTTGTGTCTTGTTATTTCACTTAGCACAATGTTTTCAAGGTTAATACATGTTTTAGAACTCCATTTCTATTTATGGCTATGTAATATCTCGTTGGGGATATAAACTCAAATGAGTCAAATGGATAAATATATTTTGTTTATCCATCATCAAGAAGCTCTGGTGGCATTAAATCATTTAGCTGATAAGGAAAAGGTTGCCAGATCAAATCCACCAGTCTCTCTGGGAGAACAATGAGGCAATCTCCTGCCATAAAGATTTATAGCCTTGGAACCCTTATGGAACAATTCTGCTCTGTCCTATAAGGTCACTATGAGTAGGAATAGACTTGAAGGTAATGGGTTTTATCCATTCATCTAGTTGATAGGCATTTGAGTTGTTTTACATTTGTTAACTATTTTGAATAATCTTATGGTTATTTACCTCTTCTCACTTTTTTCTTTTTTCAGTCTAGCCAGTTATTTGTCCATTTTATTGATGCTTTCAGAGAATCAGCTTCTTGTTTTGTTGATTCTATTGTTTTTCTGTTTTCTATCTCATTTATTTTTGCTCTGATCTTTATTATTTCCTTTCTTCTGGTAGCTTTGGCCTTCTTTTGTTCTTCGTTTTCTATTTGTTCATGTTGTCAGTTTAATTTATTTATTTTAGATCTTTCTTCTCTTTTTAATGTAAACATTTATTGCTATGAATTTCCCTCCGAACGCTGAGGTTTTGGTATGTTGTGTTTTCATTTTTATTTGATTTTAAGTATTTTTTTAATTTTACTTTTGATTTCTGCTATGACCTACTAGTTTTGTAGTAGTGTGTTATTTAGTTTTCATGTGGTGGTGGTGGAGGTGTTATGTGCCATAGAGTCGGATCCGACTCATAGCGACCCCTCCTTGGGTTTCTGAGGTAGTATCACTATGGAAGTAGATTGTCCCATCTTCCTTCTGAGGAGTGGCTGGTGGGTTTCAACCGCCAGCCTTCTGGTTAGCAGTCA